TACGTCGCTGACATTCTCAATGTTGAGTTGTTCCTAACATGGGTTGTGATAACTTGGAGTTGTACTCTTTTCTATACCTACACTGTACGTCGCTGACATTCTCAATGTTAGGTTGTTCGTTACATGGGTTTTGATAACTTGGAGTTGTCCTTCTTTTCTATACCGACACTGTACGTCGCTGATATTCTCAGTGTTGGCTTGTTCCTAACATGTTTGTGATAACATGGAGTTGTACTCTTTTCAATACCTACACTGTACGTCGCTGACATTCTCAATGTTCGTTACATGGGTTGTGATAACTTGGAGTTGTCCTCTTTCTATACCTACACTGTACGTCGCTGACATTCTCAATGTTGGTTTGTTCCTAACATGGGTTGTGATAACTTGGCGTTGTCCTCTTTTCTATACCTACACTGTACGTCGCTGACATTCTCAGTGTTCGTTACATGGGTTGTGATAACTTGGAGCTTGTCCTCTTTTCTATACCTACACTGTACGTCCGTGACATTCTCAGTGTTGGGTTGTTCGTCATATGGGTTGTGATACTTGGAGTTGTCCTCTTTTCTATACCTACACTGTACGTTGCTGACATTATCAATGTTGGCTTGTCCTTAACATGGATTGTGCTAACTTGGAGTTGTCCTCTTTCTATACCTACACTGTACGTCGCTGACATTCTCAATGTTGGGTTGTTCTTAAACGATTGATGTGATGACTTGGATGGGTACTCTTTTCTATACCTACACTGTACGTCGCTGACATTCTCAATGTTGGGTTGTTCCTAACATGGGTTTGTGATAACTTGGAGTTGTACTCTTTTCTATACCTACACTGTACGTCGCTGACATTCTCAATGTTGGGTTGTTCTTAATATGGGTTGTGATAACTTGGAGTTGTCCTCTTTTATATTCCTACACTGTACGTCGCTGACATTCTCAATGTTGGGTTGTTCCTAACAGGGGTTGTGATAACTTGGAGTTGTCCTCTTTTCTATACCTACCACTGTACGTCGCTGACATTCTCAATGTAGGTTGTTCGTTACATGGGTTATGATAACTTGGAGTTGTCCTATTTTCTATACCGACACTGTACGTCGCTGATATTCTCAGTGTTGGCTTGTTCCTAACATGGGTTGTGATAACTTGGAGTTGTCTCTTTTCTTATACCTACACTGTACGTCGCTGACATTCTCAGTGTTGGCTTGTTCCTAACATGGATTGTGATAACTTGGAGTTGTCCTCTTTTCTATATCTACACTGTACGTCACTGACATTCTCAATGTTGGGTTGTTCCTAACATGGGTTGTGATAACTTGGAGTTGTACTCTTTTCTATACCTACACTGTACGTCGCTGACATTCTCATGTGTTGGCTTGTTCCTAACATGGATTGTGATAACTTGGAGTTGTCCTCTTTTCTATATCTACACTGTACGTCGCTGACATTCTCAATGTTGGGTTGTTCCTAACATGGGTTGTGATAACTTGGAGTTGTACTCTTTTCTATACCTACACTGTACGTCCGCTGACATTCTCAGTGTTGGCTTGTTCCTAACATGGATTGTGATAACTTGGAGTTGTCCTCTTTTCTATACATATACTGTACGTCGCTGACATTCTCAGTGTTGGGTTGTTCCTAACATGGGTTGTGATAACTTGGAGTTGTACTCTTTTCTATACATACACTGTACGTCGCTGGCATTCTCAGTGTTGGTTGTTCCTAACATGGGTTGTGATAACTTGGAGTTGTACTCTTTTCTATACATACACTGTACGTCACTGACATTCTCAGTGTTGAGTTGTTCCTAACATGGGTTGTGATAACTTGGAGTTGTACTCTTTTCTATACATACACTGTACGTCACTGACATTCTCAGTGTTGAGTTGTTCCTAACATGGGTTGTGATAACTTGGAGTTGTCCTCTTTTCTATATCTACACTGTACGTCGCTGACATTCTCAATGTTGGGTTGTTCCTAACATGGGTTGTGATAACTTGGAGTTGTACTCTTTTCTATACCTACACTGTACGTCGCTGACATTCTCAGTGTTGGCTTGTTCCTAACATGGATTGTGATAACTTGGAGTTGTCCTCTTTTCTATACATATACTGTACGTCGCTGACATTCTCAGTGTTGGGTTGTTCCTAACATGGGTTGTGATAACTTGGAGTTGTACTCTTTTCTATACATACACTGTACGTCGCTGGCATTCTCAGTGTTGGGTTGTTCCTAACATGGGTTGTGATAACTTGGAGTTGTACTCTTTTCTATACATACACTGTACGTCACTGACATTCTCAGTGTTGAGTTGTTCCTAACATGGGTTGTGATAACTTGGAGTTGTACTCTTTTCTATACATACACTGTACGTCGCTGGCATTCTCAGTGTTGGGTTGTTCCTAACATGGGTTGTGATAACTTGGAGTTGTACTCTTTTCTATAACATACACTGTACGTCACTGACATTCTCAGTGTTGAGTTGTTCCTAACATGGGTTGTGATAACTTGGAGTTGTACTCTTTTCTATACATACACTGTACGTCGCTGGCATTCTCAGTGTTGGGTTGTTCCTAACATGTGTTGTGATAACTTGGAGTTGTACTCTTTTCTATACATACACTGTACGTCGCTGGCATTCTCAGTGTTGGGTTGTTCCTAACATGGGTTGTGATAACTTGGAGTTGTACTCTTTTCTATACCTACACTGTACGTCGCTGACATTCTCAATGTTGGGTTGTTCCTAACATGGGTTGTGATAACTTGGAGTTGTACTCTTTTCTATACCTACACTGTACGTCGCTGACATTCTCAATGTTGGGTTGTTCTTAACAAGGATTGTGCTAACTTGGAGTTGTCCTTCTTTTCTATACCTACACTGTACGTCGCTGACATTCTCAATGTTGGGTTGTTCCTACATGGGTTGTGATAACTTGGAGTTGTACTCTTTTCTATACCTACACTGTACGTCGCTGACATTCTCAATGTTGGGTTGTTCTTAACATGGATTGTGCTAACCTGGCGTTATCCTATTTTCTATACGCCACATTCTAAGCCAATGTTGGGCTGTTCCTAACATGGGTTGTGATAACCTGGCGTTGTGCTTCTTTTATATGCCTTCGCTGTACGTCGCTAACATTCTCAATGTTGGGTTGTTCTTAACATGGATTGTGCTAACCTGGCGTTGTCCCATTTTCTATACGCACATTCTAAGCCAATGTTGGATTGTTCCCAACATGAGTTGTGCTAACCTGACATTGTCCTTCTTTTATATGCATACACTGTACGTCGCTGACAGTCTCAATGTTAAATGATTGTTCACGTTTCATTATTAATTAAGTAAACACAAGGTAATAAGACCAAATCCAAATAAATAAATAGTGTGTGGCGTTCCGGTAACAGCGTTGTTACCATCTTCAGACAAAAGTACTGAATGAGAAATTTTACCACAGCATGGTTTAAAATAATTACTTTTATTAAGTGTGTAAACAAGATAACAGAAAAGAAGAAGATAGTTTTCTGAGAAACACAGATAATTATTCTTCGAATTAAAAATGGAAAAACAACACTTTTTTTAGATATAATTAAAAGCATATCTATAAATATCATTGATATTTCCTTTTTCTTCCATTCTGATAATTGTAGCACATTTATTTTGAATGAAAAAGGCTTTTTAATTTGTCTTAAGATGGTAACAACGCTGTTACCGAAACGTCACACACTATTTATTTATTTGGATTTGGTCTTATTACCTTGTGTTTATAATCTACTAGCCGAATGACCCGGGTAACGCCCAGGTTTTACCCGATTAAATGCTTTTATTCAATTACTATTCGTTACAATTATAAATTGGTGCCGTGGATGTCATTCTTGTATAATATATAAATGAGTTTTAAAAATTGTAAAAAAAAAAATGCATCGGCGGGGAATCGAACCCGGGCCGCCCGTGTGGCAGGCGAGCATTCTACCACTGAACCACCGATGGTTATGAGAAATGGCCATATTTGGGTATTTATTCCATTCACAAAGCAAACTGTGACAGAATTGATTAAGAATTGTTGCTTGATTATGACGCTGATAACTGTATTGTTAATAATCCAAATTGTGCCTTATCATTATTAATTAAACTAATCCAGAGAGTTGTTTCTTTTTTCACAGAGAGAATATAATCACTTGTACCCATAGCTAAACCACGCCATACTAATAAACACACATCGTATTTTTAATAAAAGGTTCATTTTCTCAGATGACCCTTGCATAGTTATAGATCACAGCATTCACATTAACATAAAAATAAGAAGTCGTGAAGAAATGTCCCAAACAGATACAGAAGAGTTTACAAAAAGAGTGAGAGAGAGAGAGAGTAAATCTTCAAACGGCAACAAATCAAAAGCCTCCATGATTAAAACGAGACCTTTCCAAATCAGAAAACTAGATCGTTGGGCGGAGGAGAAATTAACAGGAAAGAATGGGTGGAGTTTGGGGTGCCGCAGCGAGATATTTATTTGGATAATTCTACCCTGGTCGATCGGCTGTCGTCGCCACGCGCCGTTTTTTGGTATTCATTAGGCGGGTGGCTTTGTTTGGCCAGCTGGGCCGGCAATCAGTTGGGGACTTGATAGCTCGCCAGCCGGGAGGTACAACTGTGGTGGAAGTGCCGGGTCTGTGGTGGTAGAAACGGCTATATGGTGTTAGAGTCAGGTCTGTGATGATAGAGTCAGGTCTGAGGTCGTAGAGACGGGTCTGTGGTCGTAGAATCTGGTCTGTGGTGGTAAAAATCGAGTCTGTTGTGGTAGAGTCGACAATTATCGTCGGATCTCTCTGATGGTAGAACCGGGTCTGCGGTGATAAAGCCGGTCTGTAGTGTAAGAATAGGTTCTTTGGTGGTAGAGCCGGGCCTGTGGTGGAAGAGTGGAGAGATAGAGTCGGTTCTGTGGTGGTATAACCGGGAGAGAGAGCCGGATCTATTGTGGTAGATTCGACCTGTGAGGATTGTTTTACTAGAGGTATTGTGCCTAATCAGTGGAGATTGTCGCGACGCTTTAAAACATGTAAACATTTGTGTCAAACTGCTACTTGTGGTTAACAGGTTCATGCCAGGAGATGCAGATAGTTTTGTCAAACGATCTTGACGTGGAAATGTGGGTCGTTGATGGATAGCTTGTATCTGTTTCAAGAATTAAAACCTATTACCAGGATGTGAATTGAGTCTCATGTCCAACTGGGTTTAGAGCTAACAAGATAAGTCGTTGATTAATTATCTTGAATAAGTTTTTTTAAATGACGTTGTTAGTCAATTTTGCCAGTTAACGTATCTCGATATTGAAATAACGCTAAGATGAAAAGGAGTTCGAAGCTTAATCAGCTTCACGGTACTGCTATTAATACCTACATCGTTACGTGAGTCTTGAGGTTGTACTAGAAGGTTAACTCCGCCTTTACCGCCGGTCCCAAGCCCGGATGAAAAAGGAGGAGGGGGAGCAGTAACAAGCTCGGTAAAAAACCTGGGCTCAGCGGGTACCCTGTAAGGGCTCCTGATCCAGGGATACAGGAATGAACAGCGTTTGTACTCCATGTTAGGAGCAGCTGCACATGGCGTCTGTTCCTCATGTCAGAGACGGCCATTTCTTTTAGAGCTAAGTCGGCTTGTCACTGAGTAGTGCTTCCAGTCTTAATGACAAAGGCAGACGCATTCTACTTCACCCAGTCATGATGGTTGTCAAACAGACACCATCAAGGGTTACAAATTGATATCCTAATATGATTGAGTGAAGATAAGAAAGAAGAAGAAGACTAGAAGGTTGAGGCACCTAAGGCGTAAGATTCTTTTTAAAATTAAACAATTTCTACTGCCCTTACTGCAATGGAAAAATTGTAGGGAGGGCCTGGCTCATCAGTGGTGAACCCTCCCAGCGGTTTCGCCAGTTTAATCTACCTGGTAGGGTCACCTAACTGGGAGGGTTCACCACTGATGAGCCAGGCCCTCCCTTTATTTTTTCTATTGCAGTAAGGGAAGTATAAATTGTTTAAATCCAAAAAGAATCTTACGCCTTTAAAATAGTTTCGAATTTAGAATAGGCATATCCTGACAGCTAACATAAGATTTTTCAATGGCTGAGCGATATCTATTGGAACAAAAATCAACTAAGAATTGATTTAGGGTTGTTCAATTATATTTGGCCAACAAAAATATGGTCTTTAAAGTACAACCTGCACCACGTTGATGAGTGCCAACAGCCCCAAACGCGTTCGTGGTTGGATTTTCTTGATTTATTAAGAACTAGGTTGACCAAATAATATGGAACAAGCCTAAATCAACTTTTAGTTTATATTCTTCCCACTAAATGGCCTCAGCTATCTGAAAAGCTTATGTGAGCTGTATAAATATGTCGATTTTGATTTTAATATCAACACCTGATATTTTCTTTAATATATATAATAGGTATATGTGTGATGATTGAAAATATTAAACTTATAATCCTTTATCTCTATACAGTGGACCCTCGGTTTGCGAGCATAATCCGTTCCAGAGCCATGCTCGTACTCCAAAACGCTCGTAGTGCGAAACTAATTTCTTATTTTTAATAATTGAAACTCGGGCAATTCTTCTTGCTACGAACAATTGCACAGTTTCTCACATTTTACATATTTCCCGAATCTGATCTGAAGGGAGGGATCCCAGTGAATTTTCATCCATCACGATTACGGGCAACCATCACGAGTTGCTCGTAATGCGAAATTTCACTCGTAATCCGAGGTAAAATTTTTCAAAAAATTTTGCTCGTTCTGCGAAAAGCTCGTACTCCAAGGTGCTCGTAAACCGAGGGTCCACTGTATCTCCGATATTAAAAACAGATATGTAATTATTTTCTCTCTATTGTAATTTCAACAAGGTTTCTATCATTTCTCACTATTCTACATGAAAATATATTTACACAAGAACTTATTTGAATGTTATCTAGCTCAAGAACAGTAATTGCATGGATCACGTACAGATAAATATCATATGTGAATTACGTTTAACATTTTCCTGTGAGTTATCCATGCAACTACTGTCCTAAAAGCTTATGTCCATAGAGTTTGCTTAAATACCATTTCTGAGATTCTACACTTAAGTGTAGCATATATAATCAAAATGATCCAATACAGTATTAGAACTCTAAAGAAGCGGTCTGGTAGATTAAAAAAATTGGCGAAACCTCTGGGAGGGTTCACCACTGATAAGCCAAGCACTCCCAAATATTTTTAATCGCAGTAAAGTCAGTAGAAATTTGATTTATTTGTGAAAGAAAACATTCGTGTCTTAATGTTTTCATTTGTTACAAACAAATATGTAAATATGGTATTTAAACTATCGTCATTTAGTCTTCGCTTCTTGCTGTAAAATTGCATATAGAGCGAGGTGGTTTGCGTGGGAAGATATGTGTTGAATCACCATGGGTGGGTTTCTTCTATCATTCTAAGACGTCATACTTCCCCAAAGCTCTGTCGGTACTTTTCAAAGGAAAGCTGTCGAGGACAAGCTTCTGAAGGTGTGATTGGTTCGCACCTGTGGACATCATGGCTGACAAGCTGACCCCGCGGTATATTGTATCGTCTGATGACATAAACGATACCGCCATCTTTTCTATAATCTTCTGCTTCTCACTTTTCGGCTGCTTTAGAGATGCCGCTGCACACTTTACACAAGAAAAGAATCTGACACCTTCCTTTATTATAGAATTGCTTATACAATATATAAGTTTTTTTTTATGTGTAATCTATCTTTTTGTGTGCCTGTCTATGTGAAATTATCTTCACTTTCCATTTAGTCAGCGTATTATATTTATCGTTTTTTGACTTATTTGAAAGTAAAATCGTTATTAACGAGAACTATATCTAGTATATTATGAAATAATAGTTTTTTTTATTGCAATATTTTTATTACAAACGAGTAACTCTAAAGATTTTCTCTTTATGCAAATATTCAAAGAGTATTTATTCTGGTAATTTCAAATTTCTACCTTTCTGTTTTCGTTCAAATTTTTCTTTAAATCTGGGAAATCGTTAGATAAATAACACTTTTGAAGATAAAATGATTCGATACTAAGTTATGTGAAACAAATGATGTTGCATAATAGCCCTAAAGAAAAATACAAGAATTGATGTGAATTATTGTTCAAAATATTGCCACATATGTGTGTGTGTCTTTACCGTGATAATTAAATATACAAATAATTAGTATACCATTCGCTAAATCGGATGAATCAATCATTAAAGATTAATTTTATTTTTTTTAATCGAAATAATATGAACATCAGAAAATCGAACAATTTGTAAAACCAAAAATTATTCCAAAATAATCAATTCAATAGAAGGTTTTATTATACTATAATGTGTGTGTGGAAAAATAAGAAAAAAATTATCAGGTGTTGATATTAAAAATGCCATCTAAAATGCTCATGTAATTCTGCTGTCGTCAAAGCTTATGTCCATAGTTCATCTAAAATACCCATTCCAAGAGTCTAGCATTAATATCACTATAAAAATATCACTATATAATATGCAATATAACAGCGGTATGGTAGATTAAACTGGCGAAAGCGTTGGGAGGGTTCACCACTGATGAGCCAGGCCCTCACATTAATTTTTTCCATTGCAGTAAGGGCAGTAGAAATTGTTTTATTTTAAAAAGAATCATACGCGTCTATAATAGTTTCAAATTTTGAAATATAATTATAAAAATTCACTTATTAGATTACTTTTTTTTTTTTGATTGAAGAATCTCTGTTTCGTTACCCAGTGGTTTTTGTTTTGTGGAAAAGCTCATGACGTGTCAAAGCCGATTTAAATGCTTTATTCCGTTGTTAAATCTTGTCGATAAATAATTTAAATATTTATTGAGATACATTCAAAATATTCACCTCAAAATAATAATTAAAACTTACTCATTATATTTCTCTTTTTTTCTTCATTACTTTTTAGGTGTATATATAAATAACATAG